AGCGTCTCCGGCCCAAGCTGAGGCTGACGAGCAACGACGACGTGCCCTCGGTCGATGTCTTTGTCACCTGCTGCGGCGAGGAGGATGATCTCGTTGCCGACACGGTCCGCGCTGCGTCCAACCTCGACTACCCGCGTGATCGCTTCAGGGTCGTCGTTCTCGATGACGGCAAGTCCGAGGGTCTCGAGAACGCCGTGCTCGGCATGTCGCAGACCTACCCGAACCTCGTCTACATTGCGCGTCCCAAGATTCCCGGCAAGCCTCACCACTTCAAGGCCGGCAACCTGAACTACGGCCTCGATGCGGTGCACCAGCTTCCCGGCGGTGCCGGTCAGTTCATGGCCGCCTTGGACGCTGACATGGTATGTTTTACGGTACTTTTTGATGATTTAACCTTGCGTGTGCTTACAATCGATAGATTCCTGAGCGTGACTGGCTTCGTGCTGTTCTGCCTCATCTTCTTGTCGATGACAAGATGGCTCTCGCCTGTCCTCCTCAGCTGTTCTACAACACTCCGGACTCGGATCCCCTCGCTCAGTCACTCGACTTCTTCGTCCACGTCATCGAGCCTATCAAGGATGCTCTCGGTGTTGCGTGGTGCACTGGTTCCGGCTACGTTGTTCGTCGTGAGGCTCTCGACCAGATCGGCAACTTCCCTCTTGGATCCCTCGCTGAGGATGTCGCCACTTCGACACTGATGCTTGGAAAGGGCTGGAAGACGGCGTACATTCACGAGCCTCTCCAGTTCGGCACGGTTCCCGAAGATTTCGGCGGTCACTTGAAGCAGCGTACCCGTTGGGCCATTGGCACGGTCGACACGTCTTTCAAGCTCAACTTCTGCCTGTGGGGTGACAAGGTGCGCGAGATGAGCTTCGCCCAGCGTTTCTCCGGCTTCCTGTACGCCACTCTCAGTCTGTACACTGTCCTCCTGACCATCTCCATGTTCGCCATCCCCATCATTCTCGTCATGGGCAAGCCGCTCGTCGCCTTTGCCACGGATAACCAGTTCCGCTGGCTCATTCGCGCGTGCTTCGCGGGCGACCATCTCGAACCGATTCTGCGAGTTCGCCCTCTTCATCCCCGCCGGCTACCACACGGGCCAGCGCGGCTCGCGCTACCAGCTCTGGATGGCGCCCTACATCGCCCCTTTGCATCGCCCGCTCCTTTATCCTGCCGACCTGGCTCGGGGCCAGGGCCAGGCCTTCAAGCCGACGGGCTCGCTGGGCTCGGCCCTCAACGAGCGCGACGCCCACAGCCGCAAGAACATGATGCGCCGCCTCTGGGCCATCCTCGTCAACTACATGGGCCTCTTCCACCTCGGCTTCGTCTACCTGACTCTTGTCGGCGTCGTCCTGACCTCCTACCGCTGCTTCTACCTCGACACGACCGTCACCGACGTCCTCCGCTGCCTCGTCACCCACGCCTTCTGGCCGCCCCTCACCTTCCTCTTCATCTGCAGCTCCCTCTGGACCCCCGTCGCCTACGCCATCGACCCGCCCACCATGCCCGAGCGCGAGGCCCTGCTCGACCGCGACCCCAAGACGGGCGTCGCCCACCCGACCAGGCAGAGCAAGAAGATTGCCTTTGGAGGCCAGGCCGCGTGGTTCGAGCTCGAGTACACCTTCACCACGGCGTACACGGCGCTCATCTTTGCGGCGTCCTTCTTCCTCTTCTAATGTGTAGATCATGCTCCTCTCCTTTCTCAGTGTGTCTCTGCTTCTCGCTGTCTTTAAGAGCATTTTTGGGGGCCACTGGATGTGGCCGTTGACAGGGGGGACAATAAACTGGTAACAACAATGTAATGATGACAAGACTAGATTAAGATATCCCGGTAAATAGACTGGAAGATAAACATTTCAATTGATTGGCTCGTACTGTGATTGTTTCGCGGTGCATCAATACACCTCTGTGTCCTCCATGCGCAATAATGATGAGGAGTGACTGTCATCGAACCTTGCCTTGCATAGGTATGGATATGGGTATCTTTTCTTGCTTCGATCGTATGCAGCGACTTTGTAATTCATGAGCTCTATATCTCTACGTCTATATCTACGTCTGGTGTATCTTACCCTGACTCTATCTCTACACGCCAAAAGTAATGTCCGTACCAATAGCCGCCTTGCCATGCTACGCCCATCCCAAGGAAGAAAGAAAAAACGCCATATGACCATTCCCCCCCTTCAAGCCCAGCCGATACGGAACAGCTTGTACCCGCTCTCGTCCCCCCTTCCAACGCCCTTCGTCTTCCCATGGTCCTCGGCATGCAAGATCGTCAGCTGACGCCCGTCCGCCCCCGTCGGACGGTCGCGCGCCTCAAACGACGCCTCGACCGTGTCGCTGACGCCGTTGAACCGCCCCTTCTGCCGCACCGTGATGAACAGCCAGAAGACGCCGCTGGGAGACAACAGCGCCGTGGCACAGTCGCGCAGCCACGTCGCGTGTTCCGGGGCGTAGACGACGTCGGCGGCGATGAGCATGTCGGCCTTTTTATCTAGTGGCGCGACGAGGGAGGGGCGGGACCAGTCTAGGAAGGCCGTCTCGACCTGGGGCTTACGGGGGGTGGAAGAAGAAATCGAGGAGGAGGAGGAGGAGGAGGAGGAGGAGGAAGAGGAAGAGGACAAAGGAGAAGAAGGAGACGTAAAGTTGGCGGCCATGTTAGCCGAAAGATTAGCCAGGACGGCAGGATGGTAGTCTGTCGCGATGACGGCAGCCGAGGGGATGCCAAGGCGAGGCAGCAGAGAGCCGAGGACGAGACTGATGAGACCCGTTCCGGCACCGAGCTCGACGATGCGCGGGCACGGGCCGAGGGCGGCGCTCGTGAGGCCGAAGCGGGCGGGTTCGGCGCAGAGTTGCCGTGAGAGCGCGATGGAGGCGCCCCAACTCTGGAGGCCGACATCGTCTGGGTCCGTAGAGTCGCGACCGGAGAGCCCGTCGTTGAGGTGCACCGCGACCGGAGGCTCGCTGGGCGATGACAGCGCAAAGGAGAAGTGGCGCGTGTAGCTCTGGTCGCCCTGCTCGTCGTCGGTTGGAGTCATGTGGAAGGACTCGAGGATGGAGGCGGCCTGGTGGACGGCTCGTTCCATCGTCTCCTCAAGACTTAGGCTTGGGATCTCGGCGGCGCGGGCGATGAAGCGCGTGAGCCAGCGTTCGGTGAAAGAGCGCTCGTAGTCGTCGGCGCGCAGGGCGGCAAGGCGCTGCTGTGTGCTCCCGGGACAGCCCTCGTCATCTTCGGTGGCAGACGTGTAGCCGGAGTCGACGAGGTCCGAATCCGAGCCCTTTGCATGGTCGTGCTTGTGATCCAGGGTAGAAACGAATGAGGCCGTCAGGGGGCAATACAGAGCCGCGAGGTTTGTTAGTGATGCGAAGATCTGGTCCTCAGTGAGCGTGTTCAGCACACGCAGAGGTGGTAGGCTGCCCGAAGGCACAAGCGGACAGCCCGCGGGCTCCATGACGTGGGCAGGCTGGAATGCTCGAAGCTTTGAAGGAGTGACTTGGTGGAAAGAGAAGGAAGAAATGCCTCTTCAGAAACTCATAACAGAGGAAACGCCATGGCGATGAGTCGCATCGACTCGACCTCCGCGTTGACGGCGGGTGACCTTCCTGTTTGCCCTAAGTGGATGGCCCGGGGGTGGGCAGACGAGCGAGTGCCGTGAGGCAGATAAGATAAGGGAGGGGCTAGACCAGGGGCAAAGAAAAAAAATGAGGCTATCGTGAAAATTTTGGTTCGAGGCGAAACGCTCCAGATCCCGGCGGTGGGGGCATCGCCCACGTGCTCCACCGACCGGCTCGCAATGGTCTCATCACGGGACGTCGAGACTTGAATGACATGACTCTGGCCAGTTTCTTGAATTGCACCAAGTGAAGGTGATAAGTACTTGTATACATACCTTCAAAGATGAATCCATCGCTGTCACCCATTGCGGCTGGTGCCATCAAGCTTGGTCAATGAAGAGTATTCCTCTCCATGAAGGAGCCCACTCTTCTCAGTTTGTCCTGACAGGCAATACCCAGATGTCCCGCCTTGTGCGTAGCCCATCCCGTGGGCTTGCTTGCGGCGGCTGAATGCTAAGACCGCCTGAACTTTGTGCTCCTTCATCTCCATTTGCCCTGGCTGAAAAGGCGAAAAGACGTCTCAAGTCTTTCGCTCTTCGAGAAATGCAACGTTTCGCGAGCCTAGTCCTCAATTGACGAGATAGCCCCCAGATAGTGAAGCTCGCTTTTGCCGTGAATTAATCAGCTCGTGGCCGGCGAACCCAAAGCGGTAAGCTCTCTCCGCTGCAGTACGACCATCCAATTGGTTTGTGATGGAGTCATCCTTGGTCGAGTCGACAGGGGTTAACGCTGGGGGATCGACCCTCGAGGAGACTACAAACACCATGCGACCGCCTCGTTGAGCAGCGAACGAGGATGTTCTTTGCCTCCACGCTCGAAAGAACATCAACATGACGACTGAGGAAGAGACCCCCAAACAGGTGCGGGAGCAATTGGCCCTGGAATCCGGCGCCCTTCCCGTCAACGAGCCAGAACAGCAGCAGGCGCCTCAGGGTGAGAGCGAAAACACCCTTCATGCCTGGCTTACCGTCACCGGCGCCGTCCTCGTCTACTTTGTCTGCTTCGGTTTCATGACGAGTTTTGGCTTTTTTCAGGACTACTACAGCAAGAATCGTCTGACCGACTCCTCACCCTCCCTCGTCGCCCTCATCGGATCCCTCCAGCTCGGTCTGATGTACCTCGTCGGACCCATCTCTGGTGCCCTGCTCGATGCATGGGGACCCAAGGTACGGGAGCTGCCCTTTCCAAGATTGCTCTGTTCAAGGCGCGGAGAGACTTAGCAGACACGACTGACCATGGCAGCTCCTCTACATTGCCGGCGCCACAGGTGCCATCATCTCCTGCGTCGGCCTGTCCTTCGCTCAACCCGACCAGATCTGGCAATACTTTCTCAGCCAGGGCGTCCTCTTCGGCCTGACTGTCGCCTTTGGCGTTCAGGTCGCTCTGTCTGTCACTGGCCAGCACTTCAAGAAGAACCGTGCACTTGCCATGGGCATCGTCGCTGGCGGCAGCAGTGCTGGTGGTGTCTGCTTTCCGATCATGTTCTCGAGGCTCGTTCCCAAAATTGGTTTCCCCTGGACAATCCGCGTCGCCGCCTTGCTGTTTCTCGTCTGCTACGTCATCGCCATCCTCATCTCCAAGCCAAAGTCGCCGGTGCGGTCGATCGACTCCATCAGGGACATTGTCGACTTCAACGGCTTCAAGGACGTGCGATATGTCACTCTGGCCCTGGCCACAGTCGTCGGCAACCTGGGCTTGTACGTTCCTTACAATTTTCTCGGTGAGTATCTCCTTCAATCTCCAGGCTCTGTAGTGGAACTGGCTTGCTAACTTTCTTGACAGAGGCCTTCCTGAAGCTTCATCATCCTGAAGCTAGCATCGGTAGCTATCTGCTGCCACTGATCAACGGATCCAGCTTCTTCGGACGTATCAGGTGAGTGTCTCGCCCTGCGATGCACAGCGCGCACATACTGATATGCCTTCCCTCAGCGGAGGCTTCATCGCCGACAAGATCGGCGGTCTCAACCTCCTCTACCCCATGACAATCCTCTCTGGCGTGCTCTGCCTGACCATGTGGCTCCTCGCCAAGAGCGTCGGCCTCATCGTCGCCTTTGCCTGTCTCTACGGTATGAGCCACCGCCTAACTGCATGCGCAAATCCCTCGCGCTGCCTTGCTGTCACCTCCCGCCACCAGCCTCAGCTGACATTCATCCAGGCTTCTGTTCGGGCACCTACATCAGCGTCATGCCCTCCATCGTCGCCCGCATCTCGCCCGAGAAGCACATTGGTGCGCGGCTCGGCGCCTTCTTCAGCCTCGGCGCCATCGGCGTCTTCACGGGTACGCCCATCGGCGGCGCCTTCATCCGCGAGGGCACCGAGAAGGAGTTCCAGGGACTCGTGCTGTTTGGGGGCTGCTGCATGACGGCCGCGGGCCTGTTGCTGCTCACGGCGAGATGGCTCTGCGACCGGAACTTCAAAACAAAGTGGTAGTGGCGTGGACCACGGCGAAGCAGTTGCTGTGAATTTCTGGGGAATTTTGAGCTTGACGGTGCTTCGCGGGGATCTCGATCGCGGAGACGGCGGGGAAGCAGGTGAATAGTCAGAGAAAAGAATTTTGGCATAGCCTTTTGAGCGATGATACCCCATTCGATTAGAATATGAACGAAAAATCTGTCTGAAATAACGGGCCCAAATATGGCCATGACCCTCGCCAATATCCGATTTGCCTCAGTCGTGCGCGTGAACGTGGGATCGCCGCTATCGTATCTGCACTGCGACGAACGCTGCCAGTTAATCCACGGACGAATCCAGCTTCGTCCGATAAAAAGCGGACTTGTTCTCATGCTCCGTTCCAACCTTCTAGTTTCAGGAGCATTCAGGACTCTTGATTGACCTAGAGCGAGGCGGTGTTCACTGCATGACGATGCATCTGATCGACGCATCTACCTTGCCACGGACGAGTCTCTCGGACGACAACTCCTACGGCAGCAGTCGACAGGGAGCGATTCGACGTCAGGCGAGGCATGACAAGTCGGATTGTCGGCACTGGCTGTACCGTACAAATGATCACCACTTCCCGCCGAGGCGCTGAGCTAGGCGCACTGCATTCCACAAGCGTGCTCGATCCTCCCCCCCCCATCCCCACAAGGAACATCGTAAAAAGGCCCCGAATTGGCCACAGCGGCGCTGTGCTGGCACCGCTCTCCAAGTTGCTGTGAGCTCGAATACGAGAGGCCTAGCTTGCACGGCCTGTAGGGCCCGGGCCATTTACAGGGCCTTGCGGCCCGCTAACACGAGCTGGGGTAGCATGGGGGAAAAGGTCCTACAGCCGAGCTAGGCGGTCGGGCCATGTCGTATGGGGCCTGGAGTGGCACGCGAAAGGTCTATTTTTGTTCTGTCCAAAGGACGTCAAGTCGTGGCCACGGCGTAGCCGTCCGCTGACGAGGAGGCGACTGCGCGACAATGCCGGGTGCGACTAGGCCGACAACGAATGAGCGAGGTCTCACCACACGATACGAAGTAAGGTAAGCTGTCTGTCTGTGGATGTTGCTAGGCCGCGTGACGCAGCGATGACCAGCTTCGGCTTAGCCATCAGCTGATTGTCGCGATGCCTCGGAGACTTAGCTATCAAGGCCCAGATCTGTTGATGATCTGCTCGTCTTGTTGAGTATAAAGGAGCAGAGTCGATGCTGCTCAAAGTTGTTCTCGTCTCTTCATCACGCCATCACCACCCTGGTCAAACAATCACAACATTTGCTTTCAACACCACAACACATTCGCTTTCACCTTCGAATCATACTTTTTGAATAATCTCACAGTTCAATCACCCCTCAACTTCCAACATGCAGCTGTCCAACCTCCTCGCCATCTTCACCGTTGCCACTGCCGCCTCGGCCGCCTCTGGTATGATTCCCATCTCCAACAGCCCTTCGTCTAAAGCATACTAACACCCATGTAGTCTCCTACGACAAGGGCTACGACGACGGCTCACGCTCTCTGACTGCCGTCAGCTGCTCCGACGGCGCCAACGGCCTCATCACCCGCTACGGCTGGCAGACCCAAAAGCAGGTCAAGAAGTTCCCCTACATCGGTGGCGCGCCCGCCGTCGCTGGTTGGAACTCGCCCAACGTAAGTGCACCAGTATTGCGTTTTCCATGCTCAACCCCTCTAAAAAGGTGTAAATCAGTGCGGCACCTGCTGGGAGCTCAGCTACAACGGACGCACCATCAATGTCCTCGCCATCGACCACTCGGCCAATGGCTTCAACATTGCCCTCGACGCCATGAACGCCCTCACCGGTGGACAGGCTGTCAAGCTCGGCCGTGTCGATGCCAGCTCCAAGCAGGTCAACAAGAGCAAGTGCGGCCTCTGAGGCGTCTGCGTTATTAGAGGGGCACTGCTGCGGGATATTGATTTCGGATTGTAATTCATGACTGGGGGCAATGATTTGGCATTGGAGTGGGTTTGCATGGGCCTCAAGCGATGTGTTAGCATGTTTGGAGAAGTATAATCTTAATTGGTTTGTGCACTGCGCTTTTGGGTCAAAAGATCTCTGACAGGCCCATCCAAAATGCTACAAGGTCAAGCGGTACTATTCACGAAGGCGACTGATGCCACAACCGAGCTTAGTGTCTCAAGAGGAAGAGAAGAAGCTCGAGGGGCAGGCTCATGGGAGTGAGATCTTATATCCTGAGAATCGGACTAGCACGCTTCGGACCCAATACTTGCTTTGAAGTATGAAGCGAAAGACACGAAAGGAGGTATCAAGATAAAATCAAAGGGGTCGGTCTGACGAAAGGAGGACCGTGTGCTCGTGTCTTGGAAAACTTACTCACAACAGGGACCGTGTTCGTGGATAGATACCTCGACAGGACTGGACTTCTGATGCCGGAAATACTGATAACCATGGCGTGCGTCGCTTGCGATTCAAATTGGCATGCCGCCAAACTTTAGTCGTGATCGAGATTAGGAGGCATTACCCGCCAATCAAGCATAAACGAACAAGATGTCCTCGGCTAGATACAATGCCCAGGTTGCATCTTCCAGCTCCGGATCCTTAGACGCGCAGAAGGTTCCGGCTACCTGATCTGCCGAGCCGGCGGGATTGACATGCAAGGACGTGCGGGGCAAGGGTGATTCGAGGATTTTTGCTGAAATTGAAAAGGATAGGAGGTAACAGCGATCAGCCAAAATAAACTCTCAATATACGGTGTCGATCTCAAACCAGGATCGCGAGATACCCCGGCATCACCGGCGGCGCCGTTACGCCAGCTCAACTTTTGGCACTTGCGGCATTGTCTTTCGTGGTCTGATTCATTTGGGCCGCCAAATCGGACCACCAAACCTGAAGGTCATGTCATAGATCCGTTCTTCCTAGGCCCGTAATATGTGTGGGCTATGGTCCCAACTAGGCTGAGGGTTCTTTTAGCGCCCCTACTTCGGAGGGTTTGCTCTCTGTCAGTGCCCTACTCGAAGTCAAAAGATATTGATACGGATTCTCTTCATTTCTAGACTATCGTGCAACACGAAGTCTCCGAGTGTGGTGTGCACTGGTCAATCAAGAAACCCTTTGCCGAGACCGCCACTGTATAAGTAGAGGTATAAGTAGAGGAGGTTGGGCTGTCTGGTTACCCATTGCCGCACCTGACTCGCACCTCACCCATAGTTGACCGCGTTTTCTTAAGCAACCAACAATGAAGTTTTCTACAGTCGTCGTTGCTGGATTTGCCGTTCTGGGCTCTGCGATGGTGAACAAAGGCGTACAGTTTGGTGACCCGCCCCAAACATCTCCTCCAGTCGATTTCATCTGAGCACTAACATTATCAGACCCGTGTACTCATGACATCCAATGCGTGTCAAACAGGTGTAACAGTGAGTGACAATCACTCATCACCATTCCTTGACAGATTCCTCGAAGGAGACTGGCCTGATAGCTGGCATACGCAGAGGGAAAATGCGACGTTTGTAACAACAGCACGCCAAATTGGGGCGGTACGTATTCGAAAGACCAACAAAGAGACGGCCCGAACGCTAAAGATGCCAATAGCGGAATGTCCACCCCTTTTCACTGGTGCTCGCGGCCCCTGCTGCTACGGATTGTGCCAGAGTCAGTTCCCCTATTTTCTTCCGTTGTGTACTGGAGCTGAAAAAAGAACAGAGGACAGCACCTCGAGCTCGGGTTTCAGATGTGCTCAAGTCAATGGTGTCGTCGACAAACTTACGATCCGACTTGAATCAAATCAACGAGTATTCAAGGCAGGTCAAAGATGACTCGCTTGTCACTCCAGGCTTGGACACTGTTCTTAGCATCCAAGATGGACAACATGCATGCGTGCCAGAGCTCGCGAAAACGAAGTAGATATAAGACACTCAATTGGTGCACTCCGATTGTGCTTGACGAGTTATATAAGTTGATCGTGCTCATAAATGTCAATGATTACTGAGCTTCATCTGTCCATCCGACATCGATCGTGAATGCGGGTGTTGGTGTTCAGCATTCCCACTTCAACGTACCACTTATGCACTTGGGAGCAGGAATCAGGGTCATCGGCACTTGGACAAGGATAACACATGCAATTGTGGGCTATGGAAGAGTAGTGCATCCGTGTATCACCAGCCCTTGATGAAGTGAGCTGTGCACGGCTTCCCTTCCTCTCCCTGTCTGCATGATCGAGCGTATGTTCTGATATGACGGAAAAATAAACTAGTGTCGTAGCTGTCCCACACATCAGGTTGTCGAGGTAAATATTGTGGACGTGTCCTAGGTAGGCTGAATTACCGACGAACTCCGCGACCTGACTCGGCACGGCACTGCTTCACTCCACGACCAGTCACAATCAAGATCCGGATGCATGGTCATAGACGCTCAAACTCGATTAGCTATCTCAATCCTCGTCAACAGCTAGTCTCCGCACGCTAAACAGTGTATAGGTATCAGACTTTGTGTCGACGACATGTAATCTCTCGCACAATCCCAAACAGAGGCACACGAAAACATCCCCCACCAGGGGAATCGCTTAGACCTTGTCGTTGCGGCTGGGCGCGTACGGCTCATCAATCTGAACCTCGGCGCCGTTCTTGCTGTCGCGCTCGTTGAGGCTGTCGGTGGACTTGGCAGCGACCTCGGTGACGCCAAAGAGCTCGTCCATGCGTTCGAGAGAGAGACCCTTGGTCTCGGGGACGAAGAACCAGACAAAGATGAACATGGAGAAGGCGAAGGATCCGAAGATCATGTACGTGCCGTAACCGGCGCGGCCGACAGTGGCGAGCATGACAGGGACACTCCTGGCGACGACAAAGTTGAAGAGCCACTGGGTGGCGGCGGCGAGGGCAACGTTCATGGAACGGAGACGAGCAGAGGGAATCTCAGAGACGTAGATCCAGCACGCGGCTATATGCCGTGTTAGTACAAGGCGAGACAACGGGCAGTGTTACGAGGGATAAACTTACGGCCCCAGCCGAACTGGAAGAAGGCGGCGAAGAGGAAGATGGCGACAAGAGCCATGTAGCCCTGAGGGGGAACGTCCTGGCCCTCCTTGGGAGGCGAGATGCGGACGTAGAGACCAATGTAGAACATGCAGAGACCCTGAGCAATGGCGGTCCAAAGGAGTGACTTGCGGCGACCAAGGGAGTCGGCGGCGAACAGCAGGAAGGCGACGCAAGCAAGGACCTTGACGATACCGTAGATACCGGTGCCTAGGAGAGGGACGGTAGTACCGGTGAGACCGAGGTTCTTGAAGATGACGGGGGCGTAGGTGTTGATGGCGTTGGTACCGGTCATTTGCTACTCAGACTGTCAGTACGGGCGTTGTGATTCGGCACAGCAGGAAACAAGGCTCACCTGGCAGATCATGAGAACGACGGAGATCAGGGCACGGTTGCGGTTACCCTTGATGGTCCACATCTCGCGCATGAGGTTGCCGAAGGTGGCGTCACCGGCGATGATGCGCTCATGCTCAAGCTGCTCCTGGATCTCACGGAACTCCTCCTGAACGTAGGAGTGAGTCTCGGGTAGGTTACGGAGCTTGGCAAGAGTGGACTTGGCCTCCTCCCAGCGATCCATGCGAGCCAACCATCGAGGAGACTCGGGGGCGAAGAACATGCAGACGAAGAGGAGAAGCGAAGGAAGACCTTGAAGCGTCAGAGGGATGATGTACATGGTCTTTCCAGTGGCGTGGAGGGCGGCGCCGTAGTTGACCCAGAAGGCAATCATCATGCCCGTGACGATGAAGAGCTGATAGAGACCTGTGAGGAGACCACGGATGGAACGGGGAGCGTTCTCAGAGATGTACAGCGGGTTGACAGAGGAGGCGGCACCGACACCGAGACCGGCAATGAAGCGACCGACGAAGATGGGGGCGAGATGACCAAGAGAAGCAGCCTGCATGATGACACCGATGCAGATGATGAGAGAAGTTCCGAGGAGAGCCTTCTTGCGGCCCCACTTGTCAGTGATGGGTGAAGCGGCGATGGCACCAACGAAACATCCGGCCTGGAGGGTCGAGACGATGTTGGCTGCCAGGTTGGCGTCCTTGACATTGTTGGTGACGCCGTCAATCAGACCGTAATCCCTGCAAAGAGGTTAGCACTCCGTGTTGCCGGTAGTAACAAGGAGGCGAGTAAGTGGTGAACCTACTCCTGGAAAGGCTTCATGACGACAACGCCGCCAATGACGGAACTGTCCCAGCCGAAGGACATGGCACCGAAACAGGCCGAGCAGGCGAGGGCGAGGACCCTCCATGAGTAGATCTCATGGGGATCAGTTTGCATCGCCTCATTGTGGACGATCTTCTTGAGGATGGAGACAACCATGCTGGGCGACTGTCCGTAGAGGTGCTGCCGCTAGAGATGGCGTACTGAATTGTCGACCGGGTAGGGGAAGGACGATCTGTCTTTCCTTGTCTGGACCTTGCGAGGGTGCAGGGTAGCAGAGGACCGATTTGGGTTGTTGGAGGGCGGTGGAGGACACGAGAGGAAAGACTCCCAAGATGGAGGGGAGGAGGTGTCCTTGATATATGATCTGAGACGCCTGCTGCCAGATGGGATGGGGAGCGATCTTTTGGGGGAACCTGGGGCATCTCTCCACATCTCAAATAGTCGGGCTTCGGACATAGTGTTGCATGGGCCTGAGGGAGCATCTGGCCAAACAAGGGCAACATGCCTGATCATCACCAAAGCCAGCCTCCTAGGCCCCCCCGTTCGTCAGCCATCGCCCTTCACCCCCCCCAGACTCGACCCCAGACAATCGAGCCGCAAACCGAGTAGACGGACGGTGAATTTTCCATGAGTATTTTCCACCATTCGGATCGCAGCATGGCGTCTCCCTGGCTCCTCCAACTGGGAGTGACTGGTGCGGCAGATGATCCCTACCACCCCTCCTCCGGCGCGATGTGCTTGGCATTTCGCGTCCTGCTGACGGGAAGACGCTGAAGGGGGGTGCCAAGACGATCAGCCTAGAGCACAGCACAACGGTATTGGTCGATGCGGGGGAGATCTTCCAGGGGGAGGAGGAAAGCCACACAGTCCGGGCCTGAGTAGCGCTTGTGTGTCGCCAACTCGGTCTCAGACGCAGACGTTGTCTTCTTCACAATGGGAAGCACAGGGCGAAAGAGGGCGATGGCTGCAAGCGTTAAACCCAGTGACTAGGAGAGCACGGAGCACATTGGTCTGGACAAATTTCAGGTGCCAGTCTGATGAGGATTGCAGCAGTCTTCTGTTAGCTTGCCTGCAGGGCCAAGGAAGACCAGACCAGACGAAAGGACAAGGGCATCGGAATAGGACCAGCAGCAGCAGCAGCAGCACAGCCGTACGCCAGTCATTTACCCGCGAGAAATGGGGAAAAGATCAAGCAGAGGCAAAGGCAGAACAAGGACTGGGGCAACGGAACAAACGAAAGACGAGGAGATAAGCTTAAAGACCATGGTAGCTGGGTGCAGCGGGGAACATGTGCGGAAGCTTAACAAAGAGCTTAATTCGCCTTGGATTGAGCTTGAATCATCTTGGAAGAGCTTAAGTGAACTTGGCCCTCCCCATGTGGCCCACTTGGTCCGACTACGCTGTGCCTCTGCTCTCAAGGTGCAGGGCGAGTGTGGGAGGCTTGAGATTTGCCATCCGCGGTACGCCGACTACTGCATCTGGTAAAGCCCACCGAGATTGAGACCACCCACCCCTGCACGGCCTGGGTGTCGTGGTTGGCCATGCAGTGCATCAATGGAGGGTCCCTCACACACCGACCACGTTGGTTTTGCCTGTAAGGTGGGAGTGGGGATCTTGCTGGCATCCTGAGTACATGGTACCACGTAGTTGCAGGCTGCCAAGGAACACGAGCATCAGAAGAAGGACTAGGTACATGGGGGCACACTGCATCACGAAGAATACCGAGAGACGGTTTGCGTTATGAATCTGTATTGCTGTCACGGCGTTTGTCATGGCTACGAGACACAAGAGGGTGATCGTTTAGCACTTTGGCTTGAGTGAAAGCTCGCCCGCCTACACGTCTGCTCAAGCCTCGGCTCAGTGGATATGTGGAGAAGTGGAGGAATGGAGGAGAGTGAGGAGGAGAGGAGGAGGGACTAACGATGAACAGCTGGAGAGGGGCCACGACGGGAGGATCGCGCCCGTCGAAAAGCGCAGGGATAAACGTGGTGAAAGCTAAGATTGACTTTTGGCACTGGCTGGACGATACCCACTGTCACACCCCCCTCATGAACCACCGCCCATCTTACAAGGGAACCCACTGATATGTGAGTGGTACACAAGTAAGTGTAGGTACAAAGTCGCCATCCCCAGCCCCCCGGCCCCCCCCTGACGCGCCCTGTCAGGCGGCGCGTGACAAACGTGATGACAGAGGAGCTCACGGCCAGGCGAAGTTGCAAAACCAACCCTCTCGCTACGCCTGTCTTCCCGATACGGCGTGGTGGCTTGGTCCTAAGCATGTCCCCGTTCGACGGAAAAACTCCCTGTCGACTGGCTGCACTTAGGCAAAGGACTTGGGGAGGCCACCCAAATCGGTGTTCGTTCAGCCACCACGTTGCCATTCCGTCCACTCGTCTCATCGGCATCAGGTTGCAGGTTACAGGTTCCAGACCATTGGTGACAGCTTACCCCCCCTCCAAACGAGGCGTCGCCAACGTGCCAGCCGTCGTGGGCATGGACCATTGTACATGACCTTTGGGGTGTGGAGGAAGGATGGGTCTGCTTGCCTGATGAGCCCGTCATGCATTTGTCCATTCCCAGGTGTCATTTCGCAGGCCTCACCATCGCGCGTCGTGTTCACGAGTTGACTGGTTTTGCGGGCATCCAGCTAGCCAGCCAGCCAAGCCAACCGAGCCTTGCCCCCCAAAGTTCTTCCACTACCTGTCCTCGTCCACGACGAGCTCGGCATGAATTCCTCCATGGCTGTCGAGAATGTGCCGTTGGCAGACCCCTCACCTTCCCGCAGTCGGCCATTTCAATCAATCGCGCCTTTTTCGGCCCTGCGCGACAGTCACTGCGCCTCTTGGCAATGTCCAATCGACTGACCTGCAAAGATTGCGCCAAGAAGAGGCTCACGACGATCCTCGAAAATGCTACCCACCAATGAATTCGGCCGGTGTCGACGTCGTGCCGTCCGTGGAGGAGGGGCCTCTCTCCGCCGGTCACCTGAGAAGCGCGGCTCGGGGTATACATGTGCAGATGGGGAGCCAGGTAGGTATTTCCGATTTGCGGCCTACTCGTCTCGATCCGGGGGTCCCTGGGGATCGTGGGCACGACGACGTGGTATTGTTCTTGTACAGTACACTAGAGGTAAGTACGATGGAGCCGCGACGGGGCGGGTGGGTGAGATATCGCCTTCGGACTGGACCAGAGCCCGGCGACACGACCTAATCTGCTGCATGTGTTCTGCGACTCAGGCTAAATCAAGACGAGAAAAACTCAAATGCGTGAGATGGAGTCACGGAAAACGATCATTTGGTGTCGGTTTCACGATGATTGATGGGGAGATTGGGGGGCTCGGAAAAGCAGCTCCGCATAAACGTCTGCCCAACCCCCCTGCCAGCATGGCAAAGGTGCGGAAAAGGTCACGTGGAGAGTGACAGGGCGTGTCCCAAGACGGTTCAGATCTCCTTCCATGGAACACTGAGAAGCAAGCCAACTGTTAACCTTGTTGCGATACGGCGCGGAGGTGAGCTAGTAAGCCCGACTGCCGGTGGCCTAGTTGCGCGCGTCGAGGCACCCAGTCGCGTATTGCGGATAGGAGCATTATGGGTTGATTTTCTCATTGCATGGACCACCATGTTGCGGATGCTACCTACTGCGGAGGGCTCTATGTTTCCCGAGATCCCACAGTTCGCAGCGTGATTTGCTCCCCTGCAAAGGACGATCTCGTCCAGCTGAGAACTGGCTCATCAGCCTATCTACCTACCTAGGTATCATACTTCAAGCGAGTACTCTACGAACGTGATGAGCACAACCTTGACATTTTGTGTGATGCAGACGCGGCAAACAAGATCATGGAACCACGGTGACTATGTTCCTGACCACCAGCCCCTTGTGGCTTGGGTGACTTGGCCGCCACAGATGCTCGAGCTCGAGCTGGCCAACGAAACGACGAGAAAGAGGGTGGAGCAGGCCACACTCACCCGTGACCGCCTCAACGTTGCGCTTCCCAAGGCGACAGCTTCTCTCTACATCCTCCCCGCTGGTCCATTTGAGCCATCACAAATTCGCTCGAGTGAGGGCTCGGCACATCTCATCGGCCGCATGTTCCATCCATGAGGACCATGCCACACTTGCCGGTGTGCTGAGACCATGCTCCATACACTCGACAACTGGCTGCTACCCTAATGATACCACGTAACGGCCAGACCAGCCAAGACGAACAGCCTTCCGTGAAACGACCACATCGCAGAACCAGGAATAGGTGTGTCAATTGCAAAAGACGCAAAGTCAAGGTTCCAAGTCCCGAGCCTTCCATGCCCGGATGCCGCCCGGCTGACGCAGCACGTATAGTGTGACGAGCAGAAACCCCCACCGGTCCCTGGGGTGAGGCATGGGCGCGCAACGCCATGAAGGTTGGCCTGGCCCACCATTTTGTGCTTCACCTCGCCATGGGCCTGGCTGGCTTTCATCTGGCCTACCTGAACTCGCACGACCACGACAGGCAAGCGCACTACTTGTCAGCCGCCAGATGCCACGTCTCGTCAGGCCTCGCCGAAGTCGCTCGAACCCTGCCAAACTGCGACGAGTCCAACTGCGGCGCCGTCTACCTGGCCTCTCTCCTCGTCAGCTACTGCAGCTATGCCGCCGGCCCCTCGAGTCCTAACGATCTCTTCGTTTACAGCGTCGGTAACGACACATCTCAGCACCGGCCTGCCCTCATCTCCGGTACCCGGCTCCTGCGTAAGTCGTATCGGCACGATTGCCTCTTTTCTGGGCTCATGGAGCCTTTTGGCCCTACGACCTACTTCTCCGTCGACCCGCGACCGACGTACTTATGCCACGGCTTTCCACGCATCGACTGGGTCCGCCCCTTTGAGGAGCTGCGCGAGCTGATCGGCTCGCTCGATGGCCCCAACTTTTCCGTCTACAACCAGGCCGTGGACGGTCTCGAGGTCGTCTACGACGCCACCTACGGACGTGGCAACGACACGTACGACGGCGACAAGTCCAACAAGATGGCTGTACCGCATGGAAGATAGCTTTCAGGCCTGTCTGCAGTGGAAGGATTCAGTGGCGCTCCTCATCATGGCACACTTTGTCCTACTCCTGAGGACGAAACCGTTCGGGTTTCTCGAGGGCTGGGAAGACCACCTGCTCGATCGCATCGCTGAGCTCACTAATGGCCAGTTTTCTTCGTGGCTGCCTTGGACTGAAGGAAGGCAACACCAGGGGCTGCCTTATGAGCCTATAGATATTTGACTACGGCTCTCTGCTTCTATAGTCTTTATATAATGTGGTATCGTTGCATAGCTTTGAGTATGCCGCCTGATGGCGACTTCCGGCAGCGTCGGACGTCCCATGCTTTCTGTCGTGACAGGTGCAGCAACGGCTTTCCGATCACACATGGCCTGCAGGCATTCCTAGGGATCTATTTTCAACAGGCTTGTTTAGGAGCCCGACTGCTTGTCATTTGCTAGGCGACTTTTGATTTTAGTGGGATACCAATCGCAAGGGCGAAATGCCAGATAGTGTGGTCAAACCCGCTGTTTGAGACGCATAGCATCAGGCCTTAACCCTGACCCTTTTATGTACCACTATCAACACATCCGAAGCGTGTCGTCGCCACCACAACTACAATTAAGATCGTCAATATACTGATTACATGCAGGTATATGTAAGTATACTTACTCGAAACCCAGGTGTTCTTTCACGGCATAGAGAGATGTTCAACGAAAACGAGACGCCACGTCCTACGAGAGAGCACCAATCGACGAGCTGGACCCCTCAGTTTGCGTCGACGGCCACGTTGAGTACACGGGACAAGCGAAACCATTCGCGACCGCCGGTTCTGCAGCTATGGCCAGAATGCTGGACGCGTTGCCACTACGGCAACACATAATCCTTACTAGGAACTCGGCAGCAACGCACAAGCAGCTGGTTGATAACACCATCAGTCAACACAGGCAGACATTCGGTGCATTCATGCGCATCCGGCGAGCTACGCAGCAGTGGGACACCAGTCACAATTCGCGGGAGTCAGAAAGCAGCCGGTTCAGGGGTCCACACCGCGCCGCATCAATCAACGCTCACTATCATGCGCCACATAGGCGGTCACAAATGAGCGACTCGCCCGCCTCAAGCCCCATGACCTCTTCCGGTCCTAGCGGTCCCAAACCCGTGCTTTGCACCAGCCCGGTGGAGCTACACATGGTTCGGCCCGGCCCCACCAGTCCGTCTCTCGACGTGCAGTGGACCCTGGCGGACGGGCTGAACGCTGCGGCCGCGACGCGGTCTTGAGTGCCGCAAAGAAACAGGTGACGGGCTCGCGTAGACGTCGCCTCAGATGTCCTGCTGAACAGAAGCGACCAGAAGTTCGAACACGGTGCGGTCTCATGCCGCTGCCGGTGTAATACGTTTGAGTCGCCGAAGCAAATCATGGTCGAGATGGCGCTCTATCTCGCTATCGCTCTCGAAGCACTCTCCGAGCCACAACAGAGGCAGTAGCAGCAGCAGCAGCAGCAGCAGCAGCAGCCCCCTTGAAGAGGCACCAATGCTGTTTCGCGCCGGCCGAAGGCGTTCTACACTCGGGCCCCCAATCCATTCGTCGGCTGCCTCGGACATCCCGGGCTTATTATTCCTTGAATGTCACCCTTCGGAACCGCAGTGTATCTTTCGGCAGCGTCGGCCTCGTATCCAGATAGATAGGCACTTTTATCTGGCTTGTCATTGCAGCTGTACCCTTGGCTATATTACTCTTGTCCATTGGACCTTAACCCAAGTGTAGACCAAACTGCAGAGAAATCGAGAATACTGTGCGCGCCGCATGTCCGGCGGTGCAGCGCCAGGGACCACATGGCCATACCCGCCATGCAAGGTTCAAAGTCACATTCAATGTAGGCAATTTAATTTAGGCAATTGTTTGAATTTAGTACTTTTCTGCCTTTTAACATAGACCGTGTCACGGTTCTGAGAACTGCATACACGCATTTGGTGAGGTACAACGGTGAAACAGCACCAAAGTAGCCTCTTAATCCCTGTCCCTTTAAACAGGCAACGCCTTGCTGCAGTCATGCAAATCGTTGAGATTGTAGGTGCCGATAAGGCTGAGGCGGATAAATCCGTAACAGTATGCCTATCACAGGGTGTCAATATTCGTTTGTCCCGGCGGCACCCTAATGAAATGATCAAGGGTATAAGACTCACGTTGTCCCAGCGGTCCTTGTCAGTAGCGAAGATCTGGAACCAGGTCTGGCCGACCTTGTCCTTGGCCAGGTTGATGTCGCTGGCGAACGAGAAGACGTTGCTCGGTGCCTTGCTCTGGTCCAGGGTCTGCACGTAGTACTTCTGGTCCCATTTGGTAGGCGTGCTGTCCTGGGGATCACCGGCGCGCTTGGGATCAACGACAAACTGTTGGCTGATCGTGTGGGAGCCGAGCAGCGAGGCGAGGCTCTGTTCGTCGAGGGACTTGGCCTTGAACTTCTGGATGAGCTGCTCCGCCGTGTCGAAGGGCGTGGGAACCAGGCCGGACGGGTTCGCGTCGTTCGTATCCTGACGTCCCATGAAGACCTTGCAGCTCGGGCCGCCGGGGCATGTGTGAACGGCGACGGAAGCACCAAACTGGATCAAGTCGGCCATGGTGATGCCGTACTTTTCGTACTTGTTGAACCATTGCTTCAACTTGCTCGTGATCTCTTGCATGCCCTTGTTCTCCACGCGTGCATTCTCGTCATTCGAGTTGACGATAGAGCCGTCGCAACCGCCCTTACCACGGCCCGCATGAGTGATGCAATCATGGAAGCCCAAACGGACCATCTGACGGGCGAAGCGGTTGCAAGAATCGTCAGGATTGAGAAAGGTGTCCCTCATTTCCTTGCCGATGTAGCTCCATACACAGCAGGTGTCCTTTTGGCATTTGTCTGAACCCAGGTCGGGAACCGAACCGTAATGTTCTGTGGTCTGCGGGTTGCCTTTGCGAGCCAGCAGATCCCTGATCTCTTGGCCGACAGATGTAAGAGAAGAGTCGGAAACCTTATGAAGGTCCGCGGCAATGTCATCGTTTTCAAGAGTGCTGTCATCAGCTTGGCGGCTCATGAGTTCGTTCACCAGATTGGTCATGCTGGGATGGGCGTAGATGGGCACCGCAAGAGCGGCGAAGACGTAAGCGAAACGCATGTTGGAGACAAGAAGACGTATGACTTTGGGGGCTTGGTATGAGTAAAGGACCCGTGATCGAATCGATGATGCGAGAGGGATGGTCTGTAAGTCGGTTTGAGCAGCAGTGATGCGGCTGCATTAATACTTTTTTCTTTTTTGGTCATGTCGTGACCTCCATGCCGTCTAATCATCAACCGCCGTGATTCCCTTCGAGGCAGATGACAATAGGAGAGTTTCACGTTCCACTAGCCTCGGTAATTAAGTTTAGCTTAACATGCCGACATCTGGAACCATCCGTTCGGCAGTGAGCCGTACTGTACGTACATTACAACGGAGTCTCTACGTACGTATGACGTTCAACGACATCAAGGTTTTAATGGACATATCAGGCGAGCGACAAGGACAGGCCAATGTCTATTGCACGGCCCAGTCGAATACAATTACTACTCTAAAATGATGAAGAAGAAACATACGGTTCTCAGTAAAGCAATGGATTGAAGATCACGCTAGTCACGACCCGTCTCTTCCAAGACCTCATGAGGCTATTGGAGAGGGCAATTCTATGCTGGTTTTCATATTTTTTTAATATTTTTTTAAAATATAATCGACACGCTACTAGTGCACGTGTACATGTATAGCTAGATAAAAGGAAGGCAATGTTTGAGAGGTAGAAGCTGTACCGTTCTTGAAAGAATCCCCGCAAAATTCAAGTCTCTGCCATAATACCTTACTGTACAAGTCCTCCCTTTTATTGATCACGCAAAGTATTATTGGTCTCTCATGAAAAGTATCCATCACTAGCTGCCGCAGCCACCTCCTTAATGACATTTCTAATTCTTTGCGAATGGTCGCAAGGCTGCCGAGTTGAATTTCGTCTCTGGCAAATCACACACTTGCAAAGTATATTTGGAAACAACACCATGCAAGATCCGCTTGCAGTCACACGTAGTATCTCGTAGGCTGAACCTTGCGATCCGAAATTCATCATGGCTCGCAATCGAACGACGCACGGAAGTGATGCACTCCTACAATTTTCTAATCCGACGCTGCCCATTGGTCATAGGTTGATATACCATGTGCAATCCCTCAATATTTGCATTCCGCGTGAGTATCTCCAGGTTATGGCAGATATAGTTATGCAGGCAGAAAGTAGCTGACACGGGAGTAACCACTGCTAATCGTTATTGCTACAAGTAATCTTTATCCGTCCTGGCCGGCTCTACGGGGTAGGCATGTATTATCGTTGCAAGTGACCGCCAGCCCAGATAGCGCCAGCGCATCGTCGATGGTATGGCAGGCTGCTAGATGACAAGTAGCCAAGATGGGGTTTTGCGACGTGGGATACACGTGCACGACTGCCTGCCAAATTCACATCTGTCTAGGTCGTCAGGGTGCGATAGCTATCATTGACCTAGTGATTGTGGACTTGTTTCGGATGCTCATCGTTACTGCTGTGTTCGTCGTTGACGCTGTGTTAACGGCCTGACTAGCTGCTCTTGCCCTTATCGAGGCATATGCAAATAGTAGAGCGTCGGAGAAGACAGCATTTTTTGCTCGGATTATCCCTGGAGCTATGTTGTAGCGAAGCGGCCCGGCCCAGCCATCATAGCCGTCATAGCCGTTACAAAGAGTGTACTGAGCATGGAAAAAGCCAAAGTCGTGGGGCGAACAAGGTACTCGGAAACTTTCCAGTAGGGCAGTTATACCATGTACCTCGCAGTGGCCAAAGTATGAATGTGACAGAGGGGTCGTGACCCCTGAACGAAGGTTTAAATATGGCATTGACGCTGGCTGAAGACCAGGTATGGGGTTCGTGTTCGGACTCCGGATATCTGCTGACCTTGCTCTGGCCGATAAGTGGTCAACACGAACGACAGTTTGTGTGTGGGTCCCAGCCCTGTAAGCCAAAAGGGGGGAGGGAGGGGAGCAGCATTGATCAAATCGAGACCCAAGACACCCATGTTGCGCTGTAAGGCAATCAGAACTACTAATAACAGTCCTTTTAAGCCCGGCTGATTATTGCGTGAGTGAACTACCGGCCGAATTCCCGGTGTCTTTCTCCTGGTTGAACACCCGTGAGCCGACGGAAGAGAGATATTATTAGTACAGCCTAAGGTAGGTACCAGATCCCACCAATGAGGCGCCGGCTCCCACAAGGCAGGTAGCTGACCAGTGAGCGGGCCAAGCGGGCTTCTGAATGTTTGCGGCATCCATGTGGTCTGAACACGGGCGGACCAAGCTCTCCACCAAGTAGGTACCTAGGTACGGTAACATCTCTAAAGTTTCAAGCGACAACACCTCAGGGCCTTCGTCTACTCATCCGCCATTCATTCCAACGTCACTAGCTGTTTCGTCATCTAGAGAAAGCCCCAAAGAAGCTATCCTCATCTGGTCGCATTGGCTTGAGCTCACATAATGTCTTGACTGCAGGTCCTCCCGAGTGTTGCACTCGTTCCAAGTGGTCTCACCGAGGTTACAATAACTACGTCCATCCGCGAGCTACATGTAGGCGACTCACACGTCATAGAAAGAAATAGCGCAAACCCAGTGCACTAACATGCCTCATCACCGGATTGCCGGTATCTCAGGCTGTATGAGCACACAATTCAGCATTTGCCTCCCCCCCCCGCCCCCCAAATTCAAGTGGCTTGTCCGCGGTTTTCAATTTTGAACTTGTCTATCCTCCCGGGACTCTACGCGCGCGGGGGAAGCCTTTGATGTCGCTCTTGTCAGCAAGGGCTATGTGTTTCTAGTGCCCGCGTTCGCGAGGCTCTTGTACAGCACCCCAACGCTCGTCAGGTGGGCAATGTGGTCAGACTGAGCAGAGATGATGCATACCAATCAGGATTGCTCAGTTCTGCGGTGCGAGCTTGGAAGCTTGCTAGAAGGGCGACAGTCAACCTCCCTCAGCTTGGCCGTGAGATGGACAGGTTCCGACACCGATTCACTTGGTCGAGCCTTGCCTTGAACTGCCCATCGCACTTTCGGATGCATGGAGGCGGTAAGTCCAAGCCTGCGATGCTGATATTGAGCTGTTTGAAATTTCATTCAATTTCTATTCAAGTCTACTAATTATCACGACCTGGCTTCCTCGCGAATGTCCAGTAGGCGGCTCAAGCTGACGCTGGAAAATTCATGAATCTCACAGTATTCCTTTGGCTGGGAGGCTTTGCCCAGCAGTATCTGGATCCATGATACCATGTCATCGATCGAAGTCTGAATCTCATTCTTGTTCAGGTTGAGCTTGTCGAACTCGCCACAAATCTTTTTCGAGTAGTCCAACTTGCTCGAGCCATTGGAGGAGAAAAAACTTCTCAATGTTGAGCTTGATGAGCTGAATAGCATGATTTCGGCCAAAGTCTCGACGGGCTGTGAAGAAAACGAAGAGATCAGTGGCATCCCGAAAGGCACCTACGAGGCCGATGGCGACAATGAGAAGGCCCGTTACATCCACCATGTCTGGAAGAGGCAGAATATAGTCTAGGATTGATTCGATGATGCGTCTCATGAGGGGGCCAACGAGAAAATTACTGCACCAGATGCCGCCAAGGACTTGGAACGATACCCTGCCTCGTGAAAACGCCTGATGAGATAATTGACGTCCTCGCCTACCTTCTTCTTCTTATCTTGAGAAAAGGCGCGTTGGATGAGGTCAGAAGGGGCCAATCACTCAGTGCTTCAGCCTCGTGGTACAAACTTACCTAAGGTACCTAACGTAAGGCATCCGACCTGAGTACCTAAGTAAGTTATGTAACACGGTGAAACCAGGCAGGGTAGTGGCATGCGTGGCTGAGATAGACAGGGCGTGGCTAATTAAGGGCGGAAGCATGGCGGTGTGTCTTCGCTAACAGCTTCTTATCAGTTTCGTCTAGCAAGCAACTAACTCTTCTCTTAAGACTTAATTCTCCGTTTTACTTTGGCCACTCTACCGTACTCCGACCCCCACGATTTCTGGGAAGTAATATACAAAGTACTCAATAGTCACTTTGAACAGGTATTTTCTTGATCCCCTAGCTATTGCCTTGGAAAATTGCCCCTCTGCTTTGAGAACCGCACATCATGGACGACGACATGATCAGTGAGAAAGTAGTAACGGCTCCGGCACCAACCACCTACCTACTAGAAGCACTGTAGGCAGACATCTTCATGAGGGTGATATCGGCGAGGGAATGCCAATAATACAAGCATACTAGCTGCCAGCGAAACTACAGGCAGCTCATCGTTTACCTGGTAATGAGTATCAAACCTGGCTCCAGTCACTCAGGAGAGCCACTTCACACAAAGTGGGCTCAGACTTACTATCTTGTCTCCAAAAAACAATTCAACACCAACGTTAGTGCAGGATGTATGGAAACGTATGCTCCCACTACGGCAATCTGCATTTGACTTGTTATTTGAGGCATATGGATGAGAAGTAGGAGCGCAGAACAATGGCCGCGCCCCTTTTGCGGAATATCTCCTGGAATAATGGTAAACATTCAAGGTCGAGCAGGCTACATCTCTCTCAAGGCGCATTCAAAACACCCTCAGATGAAACAAGAAGAAGATGAAAGAAGAAGTAAGAGATGATCTGCTCGAGGGATATAGGATGTGCCTGATTGCAACGTCACCTTTCGACACTACTGGCAGGTAAAGTCCACCAGCATCAGTGAGCAAGCTCCCCGCGGCCTCAATGCCACGGTGACATGGTTGAGATGTCCGAGCCAAAATTTCGGAGGAACAATCATACGTTTAACTCACGGTGTGGTTGGAGCAGACCAGGAGGGGTAAATGCCTAACCATCGAGAAAATTCTATGCATGTTTAGACGCGGGTAGATCAACGGGAATGGCAAGGTTGTATCTATCACATGGCACTTGCTCGCCCTGGGTACGAGTGAGTTTGTGAAGCAATCTTCTGTGCAGATGGATCCAACTTGGGTTCAAGGGACCATTCAGCTTTACAAACCTTCCAATGACAGTATCGCGAAGAGAGGGTTTGCGAAGTCTCCGTTTGGTCAGATCCAATCTCCGGGCAGGGCACGTGTCACTGTCCCATGCAAGGGGCACTAGACCTTGAGTGCCCAGTTCTGCCTCGGTCGCCCCTCAGTCAAGGTTATACTTTGTCCCTAGAAGACGAATCACGCATTTATAGTTAACGTGCGCATCAGAAATGCGATGCACCTCCTACAACGTTGCACGTTGGCCATGTCTTGCTCGTTGGTGGCCCAAGCTGGCTGTCACGCCACCAAGAACCAATTCCGTGCGCTCGCAAAGACATCCGTGATGCGACCTTACCGTTCAGATTACCGACGAACCATGGCAAGCGAGATATGGCTGCATTTCCTACCGTCGTATGGCGTTTTGGTTGGTTCTCCAGACAATCGACCTTCCCAATACGGACGGGCGGCCAGGTCCCGAACTACCCATGACAGCACATGAGTGTGACCAAATGTCAGGACCCTGCGGAGCCGTCCAGGGCCTGCCAAGCCAGGGGGCTGGCCAGGGGCTAAGGGTCACGAGAGAACGTATATATATAGGCTGCGGAGGGCCCCCCAAAGCTGCGCAGGGCCAGAATTCAGATGTATTCCTATCCCATACCTATATTCTAACTACCTGCGGACCCTGTGGAAGACCCCTTCACTCTGTTCTAAACAACGCTTTGACACCAAACAAGACGGGAAAAATGCTAGTCTGTTCAAAAACCAGCCACACTGAACGATTCCCGATTTCCGAGGGGTCTTCGTCAAAGTCTAGACTTCACATGGAGCATCTCCCAAGCCCTTCGAAAGGTGGTATTCGGCTGTGTTTCGGTGTCTCCTCTCACGAAGGGTTGCCAGGCTCCGTGCTTCAGCGACAACAGCGTTCAATACCAAGTGATGTGATGGATATGTGGAACCTGGTCCCATGCTGGGGAGCCCATGGGATTTGCGTGCCACTTGCTGTCGAACACCTGCATTAGCTCCGCGCTTGTCACTCAAGGTCATAAACGATAAGAAGATGTGACCTGTCCAATGGAGGAAAGATCGACTTCGGCAGGGCAATTGATCATATGCAAACTGGGACATGTCGCAGCAATGGAACGTCTCGCCGGTTTAATTGAACCTCATGAGACTTCTCGCCTTTCATATTATGCTGAGACTGGAAAGAAGAATATTCGTCACCGTAACGTTTCTCTGTTCGTAGCTGTCTTGGCGTGTGGCAATCTACTTGGATCCATTGTGATGTTGCTTTAGTTTCAGGATCAGACCTCACACTGCTTCCATGAGAGACTACTTAAAGCTTCAGATTGCTTGAGTCCAATGAATATCAGAAAAGCATCAAAGTAGCTTCCGATCTCCTAAGACGGTTTACCCCCCTTGCTGAATCAAACACTTGCAACTTGCATCATGTTCTTCCTTCGTTCTCTTGTGAGTCTGGCGCATGCAGCTGTCATTGCCGAAGCTTCGCCAGTTGCTGCCGTAATTTCGAGGGCTGCGAACGGCTATCAAAACGCTGTGTATTTCCCCAATTGGTATACATTCCGCTTGAGCTTATTGGAGATTTATTATAGCGGCAAAACTAAGCATGGGATTAGGGCGATATACGGACGGAACTACCAGCCTCAGAATATTCCGGCTTCGCAGGTTACGCAGGTTCTCTACGCATTCTTAAATCTCCGCGCCTCAGGAGAGGTGTAAGCGTTGCATGCGGTTTTGTATGTATTTTGTACTCACGCCTGCCCAGGATCTCCGGGGACGCATACTCGGATTTGGACAAGAGATACCCAACCGACTGTGAGTAGTTCTTCTCAAGCGCGGGGCGAGTTTGTCTCTCTGATATGGCATACTTAGCTTGGAACGATGTCGGCACCAACGCATACGGTTGTGTGAAGCAACTGTTTAATTTCAAGAAGTCAAACCGCCGGATGAAAACTCTGCTAAGGATTGGAGGTTGGACTTGGTCTACCAATTTCCCGGCGGCAGCGAGTACAGAGGCAGGCAGGAAGCTTTTCGCCAAGTCCTCGGTCACATTCATGAAGGACTGGGGCTTTTACGGTATCGATATTGACTGGGAGTATCCCGCCGATGCCACTCAGGCTGCAAACTTCATCCTGCTGCTCCAAACCGTACGAGACGAGCTGGACGCCTATGCTGCCAAACACGCCCCTGATTACCGTTTTTTATTAAGGATCGCTGCCCCGGCTGGGCCCCAGCACTACAAGATTCTGGACCTTCGAAGCATTTCAGCCGTGGTTGACAAGATTTATCTCATGGCCTATGACTATGCCGGGTCCTGGGATTCCAATGCTGGACACCAGGCCAATCTCTACCCGAACCCAGGCAACCCTGCTGCGACTCCGTTCTCCACCAACGCCGCGCTGACAGACTATCTCGCGGCCGGTGTTCCAAGCTCAAAGATAGTCATGGGGATGCCAATCTACGGCAGGGCTTTTGAGAATACCGATGGCCTCGGCCGCCCCTTCTCCGGCATCGGACAAGGATCTTGGGAGAACGGCGTTTGGGACTACAAAGACCTTCCCCGGCCGGGAGCCACTGAGCTATACGCCGACGTCGCTCAGGCTTCATACAGCTACGACAACAAGAGCCGAAAGCTCGTCTCGTACGACACTGTCGACGTCATCAAGAACAAAGTATCGTACCTGAAGCAAAAGGGACTTGGCGGCTCGATGTTTTGGGAGGCAAGCGGTGACAGGGTCGGTGAAGGTAGCTTGATTTCCGCCAGTTTCCAGTCGCTGGGAGGAGCAGACGGACAAGAGTCGATCAACAACATGCTGAGCTACCCTGACAGCAAGTACGACAACATTCGCGCTGGTCTTTCGTAGGGCCTGGATTGCCTCATGTTTATCTGAACAATTTCTGTGGGCAGAGTTTCTTCAGCAATTCCGCTCGTTCTTACGACTCTCATTCCTCTTCTTGTCTTCTTTTCTCCCCTTGCTCTATTTCTTCTCTCTCAGTATTGACAGTCGCTTCTTTTACGTCGCAGCAGTCAAAGTTGAAACCCGGGTGTGGAAGTGTCAGGACGTCATTCGAGATACTCACAATGCACATTGAACGCGCCACAAGGCATCCATGTCCAATCGGATCCTCGTTATTGCACTGCCTGATCTGAGTCCCCGGACAGGAATCAGCTCGCCAGCTAGAAGGCTTCTGTGAGCCACTGGTCTCGGGCAATGAGTAATCAACTCGCAGTGCTTGGCAGCGCTAATGCATGAATCATCGCATATCATCTCAGGGGGGTTGAACTTCTGGAGATCTACCAATGAGGCCCAAGACATTATCTCAAATGCGTGGCCGGGTATCCATCTATCTGTTCTCGTACGCTCTCTATCTTGCATACTACATCCATACATCACGTATGCAGTCATTTGATATGTCTCGTAGCAGGCGTTCATCGACAACTGAGTGCATAGCATCGCTGCAGCGCAGCATGAGTATAAGTTAAGCTTACGCCTGCTCCCTTGTAATGCGTACATGACTGCAGTACTCTCAAGAAGCAAATGATAATCTACCCCGGTATCCTTTAGAATGGGGAGAAACACTTGGCTTTTCCTTCTCGCGTCCGTCGCTTCAGCCCTCCCGACAGATTGCGCGACAAATGCTCCTGTAGTCGATCTCGCCTACAGTCGGCACCAGGCAACTTACAACGTGAGTGCAAGCCGACAACAGACCAGTCATACATCCCGGTGCTATAAAGGCATTCTTTTTACTGACATCATCTTCTGTTTGCTCAGAACATCACCAGACTCTTTACCTTTTCCAACATCAAATATGCCGAAGCGCCGCGCTTTAAAGGGCCGGAAGAGGTCACCGTCATTGACCGCCGCATAAACAATGGATCCGTCGCCACAATGTGTCCCGCTGCTGGTCCTGTATGGTTTGGACTCTCAGCCCAATACGGCGCCGGCTCTCTGTCACTCGAGGAGCTGCGCGCTGCGTACGCAGAGCTCCGCGAAATGGACCCCGGGAACGTCTCATCAGATCCCGAGAAATTTATCACCAATCCCGGGGCGACGACGACGGAAGACTGCCTCTTGCTTGACGTGACAGTTCCGAAGAGTATCTGGCAAAGAACTCTAGGTGGCCAAGAAGGGGCCGGCGGTAAGTCAGACTCTGTCCATTTCCGAACCTGGAAGCTGACGTGACGAAATAGCTCCGGTAATGGTCTGGATTGTCGGGGGCGGATATACCGTTGGTCACAAGAACGACGCCGGAAACCCTGCAGGTCTCATTAAAAGGTCTCAAGAGGACGGCTCGGACGGCGTGATTCATGTCAGCATCAACTACCGTCTCGGCCTCTTCGGGTGGTCATCCGGTCGTTCATACCAGGAACAGGGCGGTGTCTCCAACATTGGGCTTCGAGACCAGCGCGCAGCGCTCAAATGGGTGCAGAAGCACATTCACCTGTTTGGTGGGGATCCTGATCAAGTGACCATCTATGGCGAATCGGCCGGCGGAGGTTCCGTCATGCACCAGATCACGGCATACGGGGCGACGGGTGGTGCGCCTTTCAGACGAGCCATTCCGCAGTCCCCTGGTTTCGAGCCACTTCCGAGCACCAGCCAGCAAGATTCTCGGTTCGACAGTGTCCTACGATGGGCTTCGTATTTCAGCAGGACCAACATCACCACCCTTGCCGAGCTGTTGGAAGTTCCATTCGATGTGCTGTGGAAGGTCAACGAGATCACCATCGCAACAGCCCACTGGGGCGACTTTGGATGGGGCCCCGCAGTTGACGGTGACTTTGTCCCTGACCTGGCCGGAAGACTCCTTGACGAGGGCAAGTATGACGCTTCCGTAGAAGTCTTCCACGGCGTCAATTCGAATGAGGGCTTCATCTTCACCTCGCCTCTTATAACCAATGACGACGAATACACTACGGATCTGCTTGGGCCGTTGTTGCCCGATGCCAGCGCTGGCACTCTTCACGAGATCAAGACAAGGATTTACCCAGAGATATACGACGGTATTTATCCCTGGACCTCGCAGTTCGGGCGCTCCGAAGCCACGCGCGGCGATTCGTGGTTCAGCTGCAACAACAGGTACATCAGTAGGGCCTTTACCGAAACTGTTCGGGGCTATCTGTTCGATATCAGTGCCGGACACCATGGGACCGACATTGCCTATACTTTTTTTAACGAAGGCGCGGATGGAATCGACCCTGTCGTGGCGACAAGACTCCAGCTCTACCTAACGTCTTTCGCGAAGACGGGGGACCCGAACACGAAGGGTCAGCCATTCATTCCTCCGTACGGAGACAATGCGACAATCCTGTCTCTGACTAATGGGACCGCCGTGCGCGATATCGGGGACAACGAGAGGTGTATATGGTGGCAGAAGGCATTGTATAGGTAGCGCGCGGCCGGCTTCCAGCCAGGCTGTCAGACTGTGGTATTATGTGTCATTCAGGCTCAAAAGTCTCGTGCCGTTATAGATGGTTGTCTCTTGAAGAATCAGTCGTGTTTGATTCGCGACCCATCTCGTGCAAGACGTCCATGAACATGTGGTGGTCATCCGCGGTGTCGCCAGATCCACTATTCAGGTACGCCTCGAAACCACCCTCCTCATAAAATGCACCTATCCAGCTCTGTATCATTTCCGCATCATCGCCGTTGTAGGATGGCTCATGCGCAGCCATGAACTCATTCCCGGGTATGCGCTCGCCGTGTTGTGTAGCGTTCGCGTCTTCTGTTGCGTGTGGGAGAGCGGTGGATGCCCCGCCCGTGGCCGCGCTCAGCCGAGCCTGTACAAGCCGCGAGACGCTTGACCAATATCGCCTTGGAGGACTCCATGACTGCGAGAGCTCCTTGAGAGTTTTAAGATAGTTTTCGAGCGACAACTTGCCCCTCTTGTTTGCCTGGTCATCGGCCAGAGTGTGAATCTGCAGCGTCACGAGCGCGGCCTGGAGGATGCTGTGGTTCGCGGTAGGCGGGCATTTTCGGAAGCTACCAAAAACCTTGCGATACTTGGCTCCAAGAACGCAGATTTCTCTGGCAGCTTCGTCGCAGATGACTTTCGCTTTCAAATGCATTGCTTCGCGCTCTTGGTCCGACAGTTGAGGCGACGGAGACGAGGTGTTGGCTTGGAAGTTGTCAGTGGTGGGATTGGTACTGTCGAGGGCTTTCAAGAAAGGTTTGGCAAGGAGGATGACGGAAGTGTGGTAGAGCATCCCGAGCATGTATGCTGCCGGGTAGTTATTGTTGCCGGTGCGTTCGACCTTGAGCTCAGCCGGTAGAGCGTAGTACCATGTTCTCATTGCCAAACGGGAACAGTCGAAGAATGCGATTCGTTTCGGTTGTTGGTTCGACCTTCTTGGCGAGTACCTGTTTTCATTCATCAGCAGGTCGTGGAGAGCTGGCTGCGGCAAGTCAAAGATTGGGGGCGTACAGGTGCAGCAAGACTTTCTCCAGCATCTGCGACAATGTACTGAGAGCTCGTAGCAAAGGAGTATGAGATTTGAAGGCTGGCTCTTTGAGGTTTGGTAGGGAAGTCTCCAATTCTGGCCCGGAGGGGTAGTTCACACAGGCTTGAGAGTCCTGCATCATGTCGTTCAGCGCAGGGTTCTGTACGCCAGTGAAGGCATGCGACCTACCAGCATGGTGCAAACACGTCCCGTATATATGGCGGACTGCTTATCCAAACAATAAAGCGCCCAGTATAGTTGTCTCCGGCAATGTGCATCCTCATCTGACATGATTTGTGAACCCGTCAGTGTGATCGGGTCGATGTTGAGACCCATGTCGAGAGCGAGGCGGTTGGCCATGCCTTGGTGCAGATAGCCACAGGCATCTCTCCCCATGGCCTGGTGTGGTATTAGAAAAACTGTGCTCAGCGCAATGTTTGTGCGAACAACCTACAGCGTAAAGCACCCCCATGATTGCTAATGATTGGACCGTGGCCATCCGAGGGTGGTGCAGTTCTTTCTGGATCAACTTTTCAGCCACCTCCAGGTAGGGTTGACCAGCCGTGTTCCCGTCCGCCGGATCCGAGCGAACATCAATCCGATCCGAGTACCGAGACCCCATAGCGAGCACAGAGTTCAAGAGTAAGAGGCTAAAGCACTTGGTGTTGTGCTTCATGGCGTAACGAAACCGGCCCTCGTTCAGAATGTTGTGCCAGGGGTTGTCCCACGCAAAATAAAGATCGACCAGGTGGGACTGAAGCTCATCAGACGTCAAGGTCTCTGGCGTCGGCGCTGCAGGGGAACGGCTGGTGAGTGATGGTGGGGTAATGCTGGGGGACGGTTGCACTGGCAGGTAAAGATCCTGAAACTGCATGAGAGAGTCGTCGACGATGTAGGCGTTCATCATTGAGATATCCCTGACGAACGGCTTTGCTGGTGTCTTGACGAGTTGTTCTGGCTCGTCTGTGCTCGTGTTAGTGTCGTTACGCATGAACATGACGGCTGGCCATACCCTGAGCGACGGGCAGCTCGAGGCGCCCGCTTGTCGGGCCAAAGTAACTGGCTTCAGCATCACAGTTGATGTCCCCCGAGTCGTCGAGGATGAGTGCGCCCTCAAATTCATAACACAGCTTATCGAACTCAGAAGACGAGATGCCAGCCGACACCGAAGACGACATGGTGGGCATATCGCTACCATGCCCATTACGGGACGACTGCGCCATGAGGTGGGCCACTGACGCGTCGAGGTCGATCGAATGAAGCCATAGCACTTGCTCCAACAGGTGAATGCGCGACTGGAGGAGCCGGACGTAGGATTTGGGCGCTGTTCCGCGGTGGTCCTCGTCAACTGCGTAGGCACACTCGATACCTCGGCGTTGGCATCGAGTGCAAGCCGGTTTTTCTCCACCGCACTGGGGGAACGTGTCAGCCGCTGGGTTGGGAGGCTACAGGATCAATGACACAACCTTGGCTCGCCGACGACGACACTCTTGGCAGGCTTTGGTGGTGTACTTGCGTGCGCCAGGGGCCCTGCCTTTGCTTGAGGCTCGATCCGGTGCCGAATGCTGCGCGGGGCCCGGAGATGGTGGAGTGGGTATCGGTTGATCCGGCATCTTTCCCGGAGGTCTGCCAGGGGGGACGACACGCCAGCGCAGTGTGCTCAGCTTTGACAGGTAGAAGCTCTCTGGTGTCTCAACGAAGAGTATTCTAGTCGGCTGGCGATCCGGAAGAATGCCAGATCGTGGTGAAGAAGCTGTCAGCTACAGAGGAAGAACAGCCTTACGTCAGTTGGCATCGCAGCGCTTCGCCGACGTGATTGGAGCTTAACAGTGGGGTTGCAGGAATTCACATTCCGTGCTGTGATTACTAATCAGCCCTACCATATGAGCTCGAGATGCGGTTCTTCATGTCCTCAATGGGGAATGGACCTCGTGTCCACGAAGGCTCATGACGGGGAAAATAGCAAAAACACACGGAACATGGACTACACAACAGGCACGTCAACCTCAAGATCGACAGTGGTGGAACATGATCTCATTATGCCTGAACGGCACCTACTGATACAGCAATCCCAGATTTGGGAGCGTACAAAAGCCGTAGCTGATGCACATGCATGGCGGTCTAGCCAGTCTGTCGCGGACGCGCCATTGTCCAGCCCCCCGGACGCCTAATGAAACCTTGACGCCGATGTGAGAGAAATGCAGAAATCCAAACACGGACAAAAAGAAGAACGAGAAGAACAAGAAGAAGAGATGATCATCGCCAGCCAACACTAGCCCTACCAGCGCTGACATCGCGTCCCCTCGTGGCGGCACCACCCATGGCGCCCAAACCACCAATAGTGATGCGCCGGGTCTTGCCTGCCTCGAGGCTCTGCGCCCGGGCGCCCGGGCTGCTGCCCTCGACACCGGACAGCTTGACGCTGCTGCCAAAGTTCATGCGGCGCGCTTGGCCCTGGGTGAATGCACCCCGAAAGTCGGGTGGGGAACACGCGATGGGCGGCGAGCGCCGTCGCTCTGCTGTGCTGTTTCGGCGGTGCCGAGAGATACCGTTCGTCGAACTGGCGAGGGGCCCGGAGTAGCTAAGCGAGGCCCGGTGGCCGGCCCTTTCGGGGAGAGGGCCAATGGAAGAGATGCGTCGCGCAGACGTGGTCGTGGAGCCGGACATGGAGGACACCCTACGTCCTCCCGCCTTTTTGGCAGAGTGGAGGGCGTTCCGGAGTTTTTGGTGGTCAATCTTGGACGAGTCGGAGTCAGAGGAGTGGCCAGAGGCGATGGAGGGGGGGTTGTTTTCGTCGCCGAGAAATGAACACCGAGGCGGACTGAGCCGCGCTATCTTGGAGCCGAAGGACGAGGGTGACAGGTTGGAAGACCGCGACACGTCCAGCGACCTAAGAGGGCCGAGCTTGTCTCCGTTGTCAGACGACGATGGGGAGGGGGCGAGCTTCACCGAGAAGGTCGGCGTGGGCAGGCTCGGAGAGCCGCTGCCGATGGACGAGACCCGCGCGCTGCCCTTGGACAGGAATCCGGCCTGGAACCTGTTAGGCTTGGCCGGCACGAGAGTAGACGTCTCGGGAAGCTCGAGAGACGGGCTCGAGTCCGAGGCTGGCTCAGGCTCCTCCTCGGTGGTTTCCAAGTAGACTGGCAGAGTGGGCATGGCCGGCAGGGACGACATGGCTGGCATGGGTGGCAGAGGAAGAGCCTTGTCGGGCGAGTTCTGTTCCGGAGTCGATTCGTACTTCTTGGGTGTCTTGTCAAAGTCGGCCAGAGTTCCGTCCTCTGACTCGTCATCCCTCCACCGAACCGACCGCTGCGAAGCCGCCTTCTTCTTCACAGGCGTGAACGAAACGCCCTTCCGAGCGTTGATGGGCTTGCGCCTGCGGGGCGAGGTCTTCATCGGCGAAGCAGCAATCGGCTGTGTGAGCACCGGCGCGTCGGCCACGGGCAGGAGAGGCGCGGCAATGGGCTGGATGTTGCCGACTGCAGCGGCCTTCTTTCGCTTTGGTGTGCCTCGCTTGCTGGGGGAAAACTTCTCGACGGGTATGCAAGAGCCGTCGGGCTTGACGACGTGGGATGCAGCGGTGTAACCGACCTCGAGCAAACGGTTGATGATGGACTTGGCATGCGAGACAGCGTCCTCCTCCTTCATCGCCAGCGTCTCGGATAGGGATGCCAGCATGTCAAACTGCGCAGTCAGAAGCACCTGCACCATGGAGGCGTCGGCCGTCTTGTCAAAGTCCAACACGTCACGGTACGACTCGCGACCGAAGCTCGCCTTGAGGACCTCGACCTCACGCGACAGGTTCGCCACCTCGCCGCAGTCGGCGGCGTCATCCCCGGGCAGTTGCTGGATGCTGTGGTGAAGGGCTGTGTCGAGAGCGCGCTCCCAGTTGAACTTGTCGAGCTTTTGGATCATGTGGTGCCTGCTGTGTTCGAGCTCAGACAGGATACCGCTGGCCGTCTTGCGGATGGAGACGAGGTTAGAAGGCATCATGTCCTCGTCGCCACGGGCATCGCAGATGGCATCGAACGATGCGAGCCAGCTTGAGAGCAGGCCGATGCGACGCTCGAAGCTCCTGAGCTTCTTCATGTTGTTTAGCTTTTCCTGTCGCTCGCCGGCAGAGTTGTCGTAGGCGACGCGGATGCGCTGGATGCCCTCGCGGGCGATGGCGTCTCGGCGATCTTGCTGCTTGCGGAACTTGGCGAACGAGGCTTGTTCGGCGTCCTTCTGTTGCGCCTTGAGCTCGTTGATGAGGGCCATCTGCTCGTCGATCTTGACCAGGAAATCCTTGACGTGGCGGTTGACATTGAACACATTGCGCGTGACCTTGGTCTGGATATTTTTGGCGCGGTTGGCGTAGCGTAGCGTGTTTTGC